CATTCATCAATACATTTAATCATCATAGTCCACTATTTACATAATTCTCTTATAGAGTCGTTCCTCGGATCATAGAATCTCCCGTTAAACAAAAATCATTGTTTGTAATTTATATATCATCGAGTGAGCAACAACTATGTTAAACATCAAAAGACTAAATACCATTAGCTTTAATTCTTATTTATACCATATTAAATCATAAAATGCCACAAGCCACAGAATATCCAAACATCAATTCAATAATTGGACAATTATCTCTCCATGTCCGATATACATAAAGATTAGAGTAATTTATCTTTTGCTAAGAATCACAATTTACTTTTCTTATAACCACAATAATTTATATTATTCCTTATATTCACACACCTAAAAAATAGTTGATGAATACAACAATACACTCTACCATATAATAATTCCACTAATATTATTCTTTATGAAAAATACTCGCCACCAATTGTTATACCAAATCACACCAAATCCTTCAATATTCAAACCTTATAAAAATCATGTATATCCATTCCATCCAGAAAAATATTTATCTCAATAAATATAAGAAATTCCACTAACCAACATCATGTCAACATCATGTAAATTTCATCAAATACATACACTAATTCAATACTCTAATTAAATAGATTCTAATGTCCTCAAATTCGAATCATTTAGTTCTCTTATTAAATAATTAGCAACTCATTCTCAATTCCGCAGGTACACATATACAAACATTCATGCATTCTTAAACATATATTTCATATTCAACACGTATTAAATAAAAATAGTATACTTTTATCATTTAACTTCAACTTATTAATCATATAGAACTTATCTTCTTACATACTTAAATTATATATGAATATTATTTATTCCATATAAGGATTTTTGTTTAAACCATCCCACAATCCCTTTAGCATCAGTAACTAAATCACATCTCTAAAAGAACCAAGGATACAAAATTTACTTATTAAACAACTGATGCTTATCTGGTTGGCGAACAACGCTGAAGAGGAAAGAAGGAAGACTATTGTCAAGACATACAGGCATTACTGCCGCAGTTCATCTAGACTTATGAACTTTTGCTCTGATACCGACTTTGTCACGCCCGTTTCCCGTGGGCCGGACCGGCACTAGGGCTCAGGTAAGCTTAAGGGCCCCCGAGGCCCGTTCAGTAAGCCTAAACTACTCTACTTAAAACATGCCCACACCATTTAACAGGAACAGTAGCCCATACAGCTAGGATATAAATAAAATATTTTACATCCGGCCCAATTTTTAGATATATTAATTAAAGATTAGTTTGGGCCTAATCATGATAAGTCATATTCTAAATGGTTTATATTAATCCACCTGCATTAATATATATAACAAGTCGTTTAGCACAATAAACGCATACGACAGAGCCGTTGAAATACACGACGCCTATAACTGGCGGAGTTCAAATAATATTCTGGTAATAGAATAATTAGGCACATCCAAATTTAAATAACAATATTAAAATTTTACATTTATAATCTGCGGAGAAAGATTGGCAGAGCTTTCATGTCGAATGAGCTGCTTCCTAGTACCTGGGAGGTTTGGAGAAAACGGGGTGAGTTTTGCAACTCAGTGAATAATAATAAATAATACACACCAGCATACAGTGCAAGCAAATGCAACCCTGTATACTGAATGAACACACAACAGTGCAAATCATATGAAACATTACATCAGGCACCCACAAACATACTCACTTCAAATAATCAAAATCACGTCATATAATCATATCACGTGGAAATTGGTCAGTGGCGTCACCGAATCCCTCGATGAGCCGTCCTCTCAAACAGCCCATCCTCTCAAACATGTGCACCCGGAGAGCCAATCCCCCATATCTGGCCGACTGGTCTAATCCTCACTTGACCAGTCCTCTCAATATTTTATTTTACATTCTCTCTTTTCTTTTCCATATCAGCAACATCATTTCATCAGTTCATCAGGTGCACACGGGGGCGCCGATCTCCCATTTTTCCGGCCGACGGTCCAATTTCATCAGTTCATCAGGATCCATATTTATCGACCGTCCTCACAACCATGGTGACCCACTTCATCAAATCCAACACAAACAGAGCACAGTCTTCATCCCAATTCCACACAAACAAGGCAACGTATAGCACAGCACAAGTAATCAAACAATGCTTTCAAAGTAATACACCAAATACATCCAAATGTACAATCATAAATATAATTATATAGTAACAGTGACATAATATATATTTAGGAAATAATTACTATGCAAATGCAATGTTGATATGCATTATTTATTATTACTCACAGTGAGGGAGAGCGAAGTCCTAGCTTTGATTCTGTCCTGGAGGAGCACTAGATGGACCTGGGCGATCTAAGCAAAGTAAGAATGACACAAAAAGAAATAATTATATCAGACAAAATATCTCCTTACCCTTCTAAGAATTTTATTTTATATTCTAAATTTTTCTACGTAATTTAATCTCGATATCTAATTTCTTTTCTGTACTAAAATTTTATCTTTCTATCTAGCTCTATTTTATTTGTTTTCGTTTGAATTATATTTTATTTCTTATTTTATTTTCTATTAAAATTTATTTTATTTTCTATCAAAATTTATTTTATTTCGGCCAGCACTCCCCTAAAAGTGGACCTATCCACCTGTTAAAATATCAACAATATTCTAATATTTGCCAACGCACACAGCCGCATCCATCGGGCAATCAATCAATCAAATTTCCATCCTCCATCAATCTCAAAATCACCACAGAATCCAAATCATATATTACAATAACATTATATTTAAACTATTTTAATTAAATCACACTAAAATTACAAAGCTATTAACTACTCACATTTATCAAATTAAATTAATTACATTAATTCACTACAAAACAATAAGTTTAATTTAATTAACTAATCATCACTAACATTAACTTAACTAAACTTAACTAAACTCATTAATTACAAATAATAAAATTAATTCATTACTAAATTAATTAACTACAATTAATAAATAATTAACTACAAACTAATAAAATTAATTTAATTAACTATATTACTTAACATTACTAGATTAACTAAAATTGTTAAAATTAAACTACTAAAATAACTAAGCTTTAATTAACTATGCATGTAATAAAATTAAATGCGATAACTAAAATGTATTTTAAATTATTATACCCCGCAAATATAGTTGTGTGTGCGAATTGCTAATGCTAGAATGGGAGTTGCCGGGTTGAAGGGCAGCAACTGCTTGTGGCCGGATCTAACTAGCAGTGGCGGAGAGAGGCGGAGAGAGGCGAAGAGAGGCGGCTGGCAGCGAGACTTGCAGCTGGAGCTTCTGCTATGGGCGCGCCAGACCTGACAGAGGGCCTGACTGTGCGATCTATGGCGCTGCGCGAGCTAGGACAAGGTGGAACGAGCGACAGAGCTGCTCCAGTGACGAGCGGCAGTGAGAACGGCAGTGGCGCTCGACTGGAGCTGCTGGAGCTGCTGGACAGTGGTGCGAATGCAGGTGCAGGGAAGAAGAAAGGTGCAGGTGCAGTGGGGGGGGGGCGGGAAGAAGAAAGGGGAAAAGAAAGAAAGACAGAAAGAAAAGGAAAAGAAGAAGAAGAAAGAAGAAGAAAGAAGAAAGAAAGGAAAAGAAGGTGCGGAGATGGTGTCGCCGGAGATAGGGAAGCGCCGAAAAAAATGGGAAGGGGAGTGAGGTGCGCTAGAAAGTGAAAGAAAGAAAAATTCAGATGGGGTTTGGGTCGAACGGTTCGATTCGGTTCGTGTTCGGGCCCAAATCTTTCAGTTTCAATTGTTTACGGGTTTTTCATGCGTTTTTGGTTCGGTTTTCCCACAGAGTTCACATTAAAATAGAGTTCACATTAAAATATTAAAATAAATTTCCAAGCTGTCGGTTTATTAAATTTAATTGGAAAATCTTTGAAAATAAAAATTCGAGTTGTTTCAGTAAACTTGTAGCTAACAATTAATAGCCATTTTTGAAAATTAGATTTATTTTTTCTTGATTTGCAGGATTTTTAATATTGAAAGTCGACGCTGTCTTGTGCGGCTTTAGATTTATAGAGAGAATAAAATGATAGATTAATTTTTTTGTTAGAAATAAATGAATCATATCACACACACACATATATATATATATATATCAAAATAAAAGAAAAAATTGTAAAGAAAATCATTGTGTTCAATTAGTGTTACAACAAACAATCACAAAATTATGATAGAAATAAAAGAGAAAAAAAAATACCTTGTCATGGTTCCTATTGGAGATTTCGCTTGAGGAATAAAACGCTAGAATTTAATTCTTCGTTTAGGAAGGAGAGAATAAATAGAGAGAAAGAAAGGAGAAGAGATAAGTTTTAAAATTTTAAACTTTATGAAGGATCGTTAAACTACCGATTAATTAGAGATTAAAAATTATTTTTTAAAATAATAATTATCTAAAATGCCATAGGGATAAAAATTTATAAATTCATGGAAAAAGAAAAAAGAAATGATAAAAAAGTATTAAAACTAAAAAATTCTATAAAAAAAAAAAGAAAAAGGTAATATTGAAACAGGGGAATGACATATTAGCTTCCTGAAGATTTTTTATTTCGCTTCTTGATCATATATATATATATATATATATATATATATATATATAATATATATATATATAGGAATGATTTTTATTTTACCATTAAAGACAAGAAAACCTTTTTAAATTATATAGGAAATGATTTTTATTTTACCATTAAAGAACAAGAAAACCTTTTTATACGTAATTTGGGCTTTGCATGGACTGAATCAAAACCAAACCAATACCCAAAGCCCAATACAAGTGAAGCAAATATTTAAAGAACACTATTACAATAGGATTGGAAGTGCAAAAACTTGATAAAAACGTGTACGTTCCTGATTTGATCCTCGAAACCGCCACAAGACTCGCCCTTGGATCCATTGACCCTATCTATTTTTGTACTCCTATATAAAACCCTCTTCTTTCTCCGTCTCCTTTATCTCTCAGTCTGATCCAAAACAACTCTTATCTGTCTCTCTAATTTTTGATCTCTCGTCTTAGCCTTTACGTGTTGAATGGGTTATCTTCTTTAATCTCCAATCGAATTGGGTTTTGATTTCTTATGTTTTTCGTTTCTTTAATTTGATTTGGAACCTGGAATTTAATTTTCTTCTATGATCAGATTTTAGGGTTTGAGTAAGCGCACAGTTTAGGGAAAGGGGAGACAGTGGGTGTTTCGAAGAGCAGAGGGAGATAATGCCTTCGATGCCCATAAAAGTACTTTTGCTTCCTTTAGTTCCTTCTTTAACTCTGTTTCATGGCTCTCATCGTCTGAAACGGCTCGAAAAGGGTAATCGGCGTGGTAATCTTAGTTAACATTAGATTTTTTTTTTTTTTCAAAGTTTCTCTACCTCTTTTAGCTCTCTCCAGTTTTTTGTCGTTCTGTTTTCTGGGTTTCTGCAATAGCAGCGATTTGTCACGTTTCTTTATTGGGTTTCTTGTGATAGCATCGTTTTGTGGAGAAATTAGAATCGGAGATAGAGAGTCGGGTTTGGAGGATTTTCCGACTCTTTGATAAAAGTTATTGATAAGAGCTCTAAGAGGTATCTATCTATCTTATATTAGTTAATGAAATTTACTTTAATATGTTTGATTGGATTGCTTGTAATTACTGGGGATTTTCAAGAATACATTTAAAAGCTTGTAAATTGATATATTTTCATGTTGATGAAGTTTTATCCCCATATATGATTGTAATGTATGATATTTGAACTTGATGGCTTGATTCTTAATAAATCAATTTTCCTTTTTTTATTATATGCTTTGCCTGATTCCATTGTCATGGAAATGGGAATTTATTTCTGCTTTTTGTTTGGGTTTCTTGCAGTTTACTTCTATTATTTATTGATGGACATGATCTCTGGTCGGCCAGTTGGTAGTGGTGTTCTGGTTGATGAAATTGAAAGCAAATTTTCCAATTTTGTGCGCGTAGAAGATGTTCAAGAAACATTTGTATCTGATGGAGATGATAATAGTGATGCAGAGGAGGGATGTGAAGAGCTAGAACCATATGGGCCTGAACTGGTTAGCAAGCGCCCAGAAAATTGTGCTGCTGACGAAGATAATGAACCTGAAACGGCATTGGAGCTACTGTTCTCTGAGCAATCTGTACAGATCTCATTACCAGTAAGCTTTTATTGATGTTAACATGGCTTATTTTGAATTCTCGAGGCTTTATTGAGTTATATAATAGACATGCTTGTTTAAATCTGAAGCTTGATTCAAGATATCCTTCATTATAGAACAAATTTAAGATGGCTTTTGCAGCTAAACTAAATTCTATCATTAATCTATTTATACTAAAGAAGGGGTAAAAGACAAGCCTGGAATAATCAGTTGAATTCCAGTGGATGTGGGTGAATTCTTTTTTATGTCATTGTTGATTCAACCGTCAAGTTATGTGAAACAAATTGTAGAGCAGTTACTATGAACTGAGATTAAGATAATCAATTCTGGGAAATATCTTTGCTTTGCAAACTGTAAAAAAATATCGAATTTTCCCTCTTTCCCGATTTACTAAAGTAACTTGGTTTTCTTGAAGCTTGTTTCTGCTATGAAAGGCAGCCGAGAAAAACTGGGAGCATCCCCCAGGAAACTGACTGTGTCATGGGCTCCTGATGTGTATGATCCAATTCCCAATTCATTATCTCACACTGTTAAAGGCAAGCAGAAGAAGTCGAGGAGAGATAAAGACAAAGACAACAACAATAACTACAAGAAAAATGGAAAGAAGGGACAGAAGGGCAACTCACGAGGAGGTGCTGGTGGTAAAGACAAGAAGCAGTTACGCAAAGCTGGTGGGAGGTCAAACAAGGGTTATAAAACCCTAAATACTTGTGATGGAATGGTCGACTCCTCTGACGAGCTTGGTGAATTTGATGTTGGTAGCCCGGACTATTGTGGGAGTAGCTTCCTGAAAAACTCTCCCACAAAGTTTCACTACTCTGTTGCGGAGGCATTGTGAACTCACATCTCAGTTCTGCTTTAAGATTTTGTGAATAAATAAATTTTTGAAAATGTGAAGCTATGCTACGTACTTAATCAATCATTTTGTTTATGCTATAACTAGATATTGAACTTCTAAAACTAGATATGAAACTTGTGTTGGGTTTCTGGTGCTTGTTTTGCATTCTATTAACTATCAAAAGTTATTAATTTGCTGGCAGTAAGTTGTTAATTTGTTCTACTGGGTTAAGTGGAGTTGTAGATATTTCATTGTTGTTCTATTTGTTTTGTGTTTTCTATTTTTTGGTTTGGGTTGTATCTTGTATGTTTGTGAACTCCATTATGTGCTGTAATGTCCACAAGGAACTGAAATAGTCAATGTTGCGCGAAACTACTAGCAGGTTGAGATTAAATATCAAAACACTGTTCTGATTGTGAATGGGCAATAATACCCCTCGCAGTAGTCACTAATAACAATTAACTTGAAGCCATTACTAACACTTGACTTGAAGAGGTATTTTTTTCGAAGGAACTGCTGTTTCCGTTTTTAAATAGTTTGCCAAGTTTCTAATGTGCTTCGGTTTCTAAATACTTTTCCAAGTTCCTAAGTGTTTTTGGGCTTCTGATTCTAAGTACTTTTTAAAATTTCTAAATACTTTTTTAAAATATTCGTTATATTTGTGTTTTTCAAAATATTTATTATATTTGTACTTTTATACTTTTTCCATTTCATTTTAATAGTAACATATAGACATTTTATTATATGGATAATGAATGTTGGTTCAAGTTGATCCAGGATTATCTAGGATCATTGAGCATAAAATATCTAGTTTACTCTCATATATGTAAAATGTTATTTGTGTTCCTACTGAAAATTGATATATTTTAGATAGATTTGAAATTTAAATTATATATATATATATATATATTGAAAATGTGATATATTTTAGAATAGATTTGAAATTTAAATTATATATATATTATATATATATATAACACGGTGTGTATTTGCATCTCAGAAAGCGTCTAATATATATATATATATATATATACACACGTGTGTATTTGCATCTCAGAAAGAGTCTACCGTTTTCACTGCTCTCTTAATTTTCCATAAACATCTTCCTCTTCCTATAATGAATGCTTATCACGGCAGAAAAAATTCAAAAGCTTATGTAGTTTTTTGTGAAATAGAGCTTGAGATAGATAGTGCGATGTAGAAATTGAAATAGACTAATTCAATTACTCGATATGATAATTTATTGGATAGGATAATTTAAGTTGCACACATTGTATGCTTACTAAACTTATGTAATGGAAAATTGCAATAGATTTTTGAAAATTTTGCTAAATGGACAAATGATTTAATAGTATAATCTACTACTCATATAGTTTAAATGATTTAGATATAAATAACGGTGTCATGTTCCTTTTAAATATATTTTTATATATTTTAATTTTGTATGACAAATATTACAAATGTGCTATTCTAATTAGGGTTCATCAATACCGACAACGAATATTATATGTTAGTTGTTTGGATCAAAACAAATGGATGAGGGCTTTTAGCTTGGATGACTCATGCGTGGATCGTCTAACCTAGCTATAGGAAGTGGTCCTAAGATTGATTCCTAGTGTGTCATTTCTTTATAAATTTGACGAAATTGTTAATTTAAATAGAGATTAAATGACGTGAATGCATATTAATCCAACTAAATATTAGTCTATTGTTAGTGTTATAAATTTTATTGGTTTTTTGAGTAAGATAGATAATGTTAGCTTACAAAACAAGTATATCCTCACTCTGCCGCATATGATAAATATGACAAATAAGTATTTTATTGATTTTCTCAAATATGACAAATATTTAAGAACGAAGGTAATAAATTAATTGAAATTGCACTCAAATTAGACGTTGGAAACTGTAGTTAGTTGCTAATTCAATGGACAATTTCACCAATTGAAAGAAATATACTTCCTTTTTCCCAAAAAGATTGTTCACTTTCTATTTTCACACAGATTAAGAAAGTTGCAATTATTATAGTTAAGGGATTAAATACAATATAAGTTGTTTTTGGATGCTTATTTTTTCTCAAAATATAAGTCATTTCGAGTATTTTGAGAAAGTAATAAATAATATTTTTCAATATTACCTTTATTTATATTAAATACAATACTATCTACATAAGTTATCCTTGATTTTGAGATAAAATGTAATTTGGTCAAATTACCCTTAATTTTGTTAAAGTTTAGGAGAATTAATTGCTTATTATAACGAGGACTAATATGCGATGTAGTTTTTCAATATTATATTTAATATATTTTTTTTGATAGTAAAGAAGATCATATTATTATAACAAATCATGAGAAATAAGATCTTCAATACAATAGGGAGTCGAGTCCTATAGGACGGAAACAAGGATGTAAACAAGGGTGGCCACGGTTTTGGAACCGAACCGAAAATTAGCGGTTTCGGTTACGGTTTGAAACCGAACGGTTCCAATTCTGGTTTCTCAATGGTTCCAAAATCGACGGTTCCGATCAGTTTCAGACCGATTTTAGACGGTTTCGGCCAATTTCAGATGGAACTAGAACCGTCGGTTCCGACTGGAGCTGGAACCATCGGTTCACGGTTCCAAAACTGGTGGAATAGGAATCGAACTGGTTTGGATCGGTTTTGATTCCGGTTTGGATCGGTTTTGGTTCCCACCGGTTCGGAACCGATGGTTCTAGTTTCGAAAATCAGATTTTGGCCACCCCTAGATGTAAACATGCCACACGAGCAAGCGCATGTGCAGGCTTATTGACTTGTCTCCTAATCCAAATCAATTCACAAGATGGCATTTGAGAAAGCAGTTGTTTAATCTCTTCTAACACCGGTGCCTAATCTGAGTAAGGTTCAAACCCAGCAGTGACAGCTTGAAATAGTTGCAGCAATCTGTTTCCAGTAGAACCCTACCAAATGATCTCGTGAGCAGCCATGACAATACTTCCTTAAGACTAATGGCCTCTGCGATGTGTGGTTACAGACCCCTGCAAAATGACCCGTGCAAGCTACTAAAAATGACCTAGCTTCATTCCGGACAAGGCCAGCATAAGATGAACGATCCTCAGTCGTATGGACAGCTGCATCAAAGTTACACTTTACAACCCCAGGCGGAGGAGGAGCCCATGTTGGAACTGAAGCCGCGCGGTAATGGGGAATTTCGTGTACCGATATGCGCATTCTGCCAGTCTTTAAGAAAGCTGGTTACTGCCATGATAATGTTGCAAGGATACCCGACGATTTCTGTCAAACCAAATAAAATAACACAACACACCAAATAACAAGCAATGCTCATCACTGCGACAATCAATAAACCCCAGCAGCATATCACTAAAACTAGTGGCAGATCCGTCCAACTGAATCCATGCTAAATTCCAACACAGTTGCGCTTTCTCATAAAGGAATAGCATGTGCATTATTGTCTCTGTTTCGCCACAGAATGGGCAGTGATCATCCTCGGTAATTCGCTTGCCAAAAAGTATAGAGCTTACTGGCAAAATATTACGACACGCCCACCAAAGCCAGTGCTTAACCTTCGGTGGGAATTCTAATTGCCATAATTTAGTCCAAATTGTGAAATGAAGTTTGCTTCTGGCACCACAAAATTAGGCAAGACAAGTTTGTATCCTGATTTAACAAGGTACTTCCCTGAACTAGAGAAGCGCCATATTAGTTTATCTGCCTGGGTAGCTCGAATAAAAGGGAGGGATAGGACCTGTGACACCTCCTCTGGTAGGAAAAGTCTGGCAATTAAATCCACATTCTAACCATTAAACATTCATAGATCTCCAACTGACATATTGTCAAAACTAGGAACAACAGGGCTATGGGGATAAAAATCATGATCACGTGGTATCCACGGCTCATGCCAAATATTGACGTTTGAACCGTTACCAATTCTCCACCTATACCCTCTTTTTAAAAATGACTTAGCCGAGACCATGCTCCTCCATATAAGGCTGAGATTATGCCCTAACAGTGCATCCAAAACATTCCCCCTGGAAAATATTAGCTCTAAGAACTGAACATAGAAGAGAATTCGGCTCGGTGACAAAGTCTCCAAATCTGTTTACCAACTAGGGCAATATTAAACGAATATAGGTGTCTGAAGCCAAGGCCGCCCATAGCCTTCTCAATCATATTGTATCCCAACATAACCAAGGAATTCCTTTACCATTCGAGCCTTGTGTACCCTACCAAAAAGAGTTCATGATTCCTTGCAATTCTTTGCAGGAGGAAGTAGGAAGAAAGAAAGTACTCATGTAACGTCCCATTTTTTCTATTGAATCGAGTCGTTGCTTAGAGTCGAGTCGGGCTGATCCAAAACCCGGTTTGAGCCATTAGAGTCCATTGAACCATTTAGAGTCCAGGAGTGGGTGTTAGAATGGGAATGTAACTGAAATAAGGAAAAAGAAGTGGGCTCTTGAAGGACAGCAAAAAGGTCAAAGTATTTAAGGGAATTAGGACTTGCACTTGCACGAAAAGTATAAAGTTAGTATTTGAGTGACCATTTGAACACTTGAGGACCATTTGTAATTTTTACACACAAATCATGATTATTTTTGGAGTATTCCCGAGACTTCCATTTCCACTTTTCCATGTTTCATTCTTTATCTTCTTCATCTCCTTCATCATCTTCATTTATCTTACTTTCCCTTTGCTTCTCCATCAATTGTCATGAGATCAAGCATAATTTCAACTTCTATTCTATCCAAAAGTAAGTAAACCTTCTTGGAATTTCATACCTTGAATCATTGGGTGATATTTTTAGAGTATTCATAAGAATTCTCATGTATAGGAGATGTGAGCTCAAAGGTAGAAGAAAAAGGAAGCTAAAAAAGCAGAGCGCTAAGAAAAAGATTCCAAGCTTGTTAAGTGAAGGTGTGCTATCTCTTTTCGTTTAATTAATTTCCTTGTCTTTTAGTTTAATTCATTTCCTTGCATGATAATTTGTGTGATGTGTTGAAATGAGGAGATATGTTGTTTAATGTTGAGAAAGATGACTGAAAATGATGGAAAAGCATGAGATGAAATGAATAAAGGAAGTAGATATTGAGTTTATGCTGAAACAGGTTTTGCTGGAAAAAGAACCAGTGACTTCACCTTGATTTTGACCCTATTTAAGGATGGAATTAGGAAGTGTCATAAAAGAGTTATTTGTTCCTCTATGTGTTAGCTTTCCATGGGTA